GCCGCGGGCTGCACGTGCGGGATCACCACTCCAGGCTGCACAAAAGCCTGCGGATAGACATAGTGAGCAGGTATCCTGTTGAAAGAGGGGAGAGCGAGTCAGCGGGGGCCCAAGAAGCAGCGCCTGCCAAACCCATACTCGGAACTAAACCAAACTCAATTTAGTCGTTGTTATGTGCATAGGGTTGCCACAATAGCTAGGCAGAATGGAGCGACTAGCAGCTCACTGGCCCACTATGGCGCATTGCTCCGAAGCATTGCAGCCCAGTTAAAGCAGGTTGCTCGAGGATGTTAGGCTTAATGCTATGACCATCTTTGAAAGGACCAGGATTACTGATGTTCGTTCTAAAACAGCTCTGAATGAGTAAGCTCAATTACTCCATTTGGAAAATTTCAGTATTTATTTTTCAAGTCACCTACATGTGATTTTTATTACCTTAATTCACCCTGAATTACTTGACTGTTAGTGACATTATTTCCTGCAAATACTCTATTATTCTTAATAATAGCTAAGCAATTTGACAGCATCACTATAATAAGTTTGACAATAGCCCATAAGGCAACAAAATGGTTTAACTCTGATTTCGTATAAAGCCTTGGGGGAGAGAAGTGTATTGTGGCAACCCTACTTAAGTTGCTATGCAGACTCAGCACACATTAATTTCTCTGCAACCTCAGTCACCCTTATTAAAAATAAATAAACAAAATAAAAAACCCAACAACACAGGCGACAAAGGAGTTTTAAAAAAAGTTCACAAGTGTGGTAAACACAGCAAGAATCACACTTTCCAAACGAACTATAGTGCAGCTCACTCCGTCACAAGAGGCCATTGAGGGGAAGCTACATAGATGCTATTAAAATCCATAACAGTGACTCCTAGGTACATGTGCATCACACTTTTATAAAGGTCATAAGGACACAAGGGTCAAACCTGTTTGATTATCAGGCCACTGATGTCCTGTTTTGTGCCCGCTTGTTTTTTTCTACGCAAGACATATAGCGTAGAATTTTGGGGAGGTGGGCATAGATCTAAATAGATCTGGTGCTCAACAAAAGCAAAAAAAAAAAAAAAAAAGTTTATGGCTTAAGAAATTACCATTCTGAACACATCAGTACACACACTTTTCCATTTCCATCAAGTTTCAGCACGTGCTTCCCTGGCTTGTTTACTCAGCCCTTCAATTCTGAACATTGGTTATGCCATCATCTTAGCACACAAGTGTACATACCAGTTGATCTCATAGTTGTATTTCATCATATAATACAGTTTTAAAATAGAATGTTTTCAGTGGTATTTTCATTTTACGTTTATAACCTTGTCTTGCATCTGGATCTCCACAGAGAAGTCCTTCATACATGGAACTCACTTCTAGATGGATCTTAAAAAAACCACGAACATGTGCTTGTGCAAATGAATTATTCTGCAGAACTGAAATTTACCTTTACAGACAATGCTAAAGACTGTGCCAACCTGTCGATGCACAGTAAACATGGATGCAAATTGTAGTGGTGCAATCTATCCTCTTTTCTTGAAATGCAAGATTTAACAGAAAATGTTGTTTTGTTAAATAACTTCAAGTTTTACTTAAGTGGTCAACAAGGAAACATTGCAGTCACAGAGGATGCTGTCAACTATACTTATAGCAAAACATATTTTACAATAAGTGATAGTCAGGCTTTAAACTGCCCAGTTTTCTACTTAAGAAAAAAAAATAGCTCAGGCAGTTGAGTGAATGGAAGTATTAGCAGAGAGAAGTGCTTGCTCAGCCGCAGTGCTTAAGACATGAACACCACCATAAAAACTCAACAGGTCATTGGAATTCAATTCCCACTGTATGAAGGGATGCAGAAAATAATAGAGTGACAAGTAAGCGTTGAGGAGGGAAAGAAAACAGAAAGCAGTAAGTTGGGTTTTTAAAACTCACCTAATGTATGAAGTGATTAGCCAGAAGTGCATTTGAAGCCTGCTTAAGCTGGCTCTGCCATCTAATCATACGTCCTCACCTGAGCTCTCCATACAAAATGGATGTGCATGTACAAGCATTTTGTATTGGTCACCAATCAAGTACCATCCTAATAAATACAACACCATTTTTTAAATATTAATGAAAGAGGAATAAAACATTTTTGCAAACTAAATTGCACAATATTGAAAAAAACAGAGATCCTCCTCTGCCTCATATAAGATATCACATCAGAGTTTTTTGATTTTTTAACATACTATTGTTACAAAATAGAGATAGCCTAACAGCAGAGATACAGAAAGCAAGCTTATCTGGATGCTTAGGTTACCCTGCAAAAGACATTTCCTCGAGGCAGGAGATTTGATAGCACTAAGGTTTTCTTGAGGCATTAGGACACTTGTCCATATACTTGAACAAGAGAGAGAGATATATGTGCTCCCACTTGTGTTTTATTTAAGCCAAGAGCTAACAGGTGGTGAAGTTATGAAACATTATCTCCTTGCAACATCTTACCCTACCCTGTACGTAAACCCTGGGCAGGCTGCTCACCACCATGCCATTTCACACATGGTGATTGACAGTGTAAGCTGCACCGGGGCTATTTTTGATCGTCTGTCATGCTGCAATTCTTTTGAGGCGAATAAAATGGCTTTATATGGCCAAAGTAAATTCCTACCTAGTACGAAGGTCAGCACATGTAGACCCCAGCCATTCGGAAGCTGCCTGCTTTTAATGCTAGGTCCAAAGTTGATAAAGCAATTCCCTATTTTGCTGAATATGCCTCTCTTTTAAATGTTTGCAATGAAGGAAAAGGAAAGCCACATTTAACTTTAATAGTAAGTGTATTCTGTGCATATACAAGATTAAATACGCTCCTGCCATATGCCTTAGGATTTGCAATATTATAACAATAGGTTTTTGTGTAACTAAGACCCAAGAAAATAATATAAGCACTAATAAAGTGATAGCTAATTGTTTCAAACCACCAAAGATAGGACACGGTCCAGATTAATCCAAAGCGCTCCAAAGAGCTCTGGTGTATGGAAAGTCAGCAGCAACAGCAAGTTAAGTGACTCTCAACATTAAATACTTGAGCAAGTAGCTGTTTAACTTGGAATTAAATGTTTTCCTCTGGAGCTTAAATTACATCATCTGGTTTTATAAGTATGACTAAAAAGTACATTTTACTCAGTGAACTGCTATCCACATTGTAGAGATTGGATTGATCTCCACATTGTAGAGACAGCTTACGTAAGCACCAAGACAAACACGGCCCTAAACATGCTTCTTTCAAAATTGTGACTAAAGGCATCAAGATGACATTTAGTATTCTTCAGGTTAACCTCTGAC